GATGAGAGTTTAAGGTAAAAAAGTGAATACAGTTTTATTTAGAATCCTAAATAAAAAGGAAGAAAGAATTCAAGAAAGTAGAATACTAAAGATGATGTTGAATGTTTCCAAAAAATAAAGAGTAAAAAAGAAAGACATGTACCTTGAAGATGAGGATTCAGGGTAAAAAGTGAAAATAGTTTCACTTAGAATTTTAGGTAAAAAAAGAAGATAGAATTCAAGAAAATAAAATACTGAAGTTGAAGTCAAATATTTTCAAAAAAGAAAGAGCAAAGAAAGAAAAACATAAGATTTTTTGTCCAGAGAATGCTTCATAAGATCCTTAGCCTAATTACCTTAAACAAGATATTTTAAGCCTATTTATCTATTCTTTCAGAACCTTGAACCTTGGCTTACATTACATTCATTGAAAAATCTATTTTAGTTAAATGTGGACACTTAAATTGAAGAATTATGTCCTTGAAAATTTGTATATACTTGTTAGTATTTGGCAAGATTTTACCAAGTTTTTCATTGGTAGAAAATATAGCTCTAAGGTGAAAACTCAAAAGGGCAATTTAGAGCTAGAGCCACTCTTGAGGCCCCAAAAAAATTTTAGAGTTCAAGGTTCTATCCAAAATAAAAAGTCATGATGCAAAACCTTTTAAAGGATCAGTACCCATTAAAAACTTTGCATTTCACTAAAGAGTAAAAATAAAAAGCCAATCTTTTTCTCTTCTTAAATCTTTTTTGAAAAATAATAGTTAGTGTTGACCTACATTGAAGTATCACATTAAGCCATGCTTGATTTTCAATAAAAGAAAATTCTTTAGAAAAATTATCTCTTTCATAAGCCCAAGAGAAATCCTTGTAACCCTTGTCAAGCTTTTCTTAAAATATGCACTAGTGAAAAAAATTAAATTGTCAATTATCCTATTCACAAGCATTCCAAATAGTAATCATCAATTTTCAAGAGATTCAAGAGTTATGGGTTTTTTAACTTTTTTCATTGATTACGAATATACTTTATGTATGAAAATTTTGTGATTACTTTTGAAAAGTTCAAAGATTATTTGAGCATTTTGTACAAAACAGTGAGATCATTTTTGGTGAAAAGTAAACATTAAAAATTTGAAGAGAGATATTTCAAAAAAATAATAATAAAAAGAGTTTTTGCATTTGCATTACTTGTATTCACATTCACATTTATATCATGAGAAAGACATTTGACCTGCATGTTGCAAAAAAATTGCATTTGCATCATGAGAAAGACATTTAATCTGTATGTTGCAAAAACAAAAATGACATTCGCATTTACATCCTTGTATTTACACTTGTACATGCATCATGAGAAAGACATTCGTATTCACATCTATGTCATGAAAAAATCGCATTTGCTGCATGTTGAAAAAAAAAAAACATTTGAATCACTTACATGTGCATCATGAGAAAGACATTTGATCTCTATGCTGTAAAAATAAAATAGACATTCGCATTTACATCACTTGTATTCACACTTACATGTGCATCATGAGAAAGACATTTGTATTCACATCTACATCATGAAAAAATTACATTTGCATCATTTACATGTGCATCATGAGAAAGATATTTGATCTACCTGCTAAAAAAATAAAGATATTTACATTTGCATCACTTGCACCTATATCATAAGAGACATTCGCATTTACATCATCAGCATCATAACCAAGGCATTTTCATTTGCATCATAAGAAAAACATTTACATTTGCATCATTGCATCTATATCATAAAAAAATATTTGTAAGGGCATTTACATAAAAGGAACATTGGCATTTGCATTATGAAAAAAGTCACCTATATTTGCATCAAGCATTCACATAGACATTCGTACTCATATTATTTAATGAAAATAGATATTTGTATTAAGATTGTGTTTGTCAACTTTGTAAATATTAAAAAAAGAAGAAATGAAATGAAATAGAAACATTTTAAGTAGTAAAAAAAAAGAAGAAAAAGAAAAAAATGAGAGAAAAGAAAAAATAAGAAGTTTTTTACAAAAGAAAAAAAAGTCTATCAAACAAAAGAACCTAAAAGGAAAATAATCTATCAATTCAAAAGACAAGAAAGGAAGAGTCTACCAAGAAAAAATGAAAAGGGAAAAATAAAAAATAAAATAAAAAAGAAAAGCAAAAATCAAAAAATGAAAAATGAAAAATGAAAAACGAAAAACAAAAAACAAAATAAAAAAATAAAAATAAAAAACGAAAAACGAAAAACGAAAAATGAAATATGAAATATGAAATATGAAAAACGAAAAACGAAAAACAAAAAACAAAAAACAAAAAATGAAAAACAAAAAACGAGAAATGAAAGTTGAAAAAAAAAAGAAAAAAAAAGGAAAAATAGCCAAAAAAAAAGACAAGAAAAAAAAAAGAAGTCTATCATGAAAATAATGAAAAAGAAATAAAAAAAAGAGAAAATAATTTAATAAGAGACCAAAATATCATAAAGGTTTGAAGAGTTGAAAGTAAAATGATTTGCAAAAAGTGGAAGGGTTGATGAAAAAATAAATGAAAAAAGATAAGATATGATACAAGATAAGAACTAAGCCTAGTCAAGTTGGCATCCAGATCAAACTAAGCCCAATCAAACTGGCACCCAGATTAAACTAAGCCTAGTCTTGCTGGCACCCAAATCAAACTAAGCCCAGTCTAGCTAGCAATCAAATCAAACTAGTCCAATTTAGGTATCACCCAGATCTCTAAGACCTTCAAGCATAATTTGTAAGAATTTCGGGCATAATTTTTTAAATTTTCGGGCAAAACATTTTAAAATTTCAAAGTTTCAATGCCTCTAATTAAAGAAGCATTCAAAGATATCAAGATTTGTAAGATCACTGATCATAATTTCTCAGTCCTTCGAACAGGATTCATAAGTCTTCTAAGTTGAATTTGTTTTAGTTATGATATTTGTGAAACTTTTGGGATGATCTCTTGTTTTTTTTCAAAAGTTGTTGAGTTTTTCTATTTTCAGGTGATTAAATTTGTTGATTAAAAAAATAAAATAAAAAAAATCAAAATAAAAAATGAAAAGAAAAAGAAAAAGAAAAAGCAGAAGCATAAAAAACTTATAAAAATTTTTGAACTGTTAATTTCAAACAAATTTGTTGTCTATGTCTTTGCCCTATTTCTGATTCTCAGTAATGTGCGAAAAAGGGTAGTTATAGACATCCAATTTTGTCTAGACTGACTTGAATTTGTTCGATTTTTAAATTTGATTTTAACATTTCAATTTCGGCTAACTTAATTGGATTTAATTAAATTAAGCTCATTCATATTTGCCCTAAATTAATCATTTTCGAATTGATTTGCATAATTTGAAGTTTGACCTACTTTAATTCGGATCGATTCAGCTTTGTTCAACTTTTACATTTGATTTGAACAATTGAATTTGGGCAAATTTAAGAGTTTTAATTAAATTGACTCATTTAGAGTTTAGCTCAAATTAATTGTCAAATATAATTTTATTTGGATCAAGGCTTGATTTAATTGGGATTAATTCAAAATTTAGCTATTTGGTCTTGAAGGCTTGATAAACGATAGTCCAAATTAAATTTCAAAGCCTAATTTTATTTTTGTTATTGGTCTTATCTTCGTTATTTGATGAATTAATTAAAAAATAAAAAATAAAAGAAAACAAAAATACAGAACATGAAGAAGTGGCCAGCAGTTTGTTGCCATAACAAGCCAAATTACCTAATACTGTTCCACCACTCTACACCCTGCCACAACAGGTTTTCCACTACCCATAATTTTTGTCCATAATAAGAATTCATAGATTAAAAAAACTGGGGGAAAACACAAATAATGAAAAGGGTTCTAAATTTTTCTCTACATACTTACCTATACCCATAATCCCAGCCTACTTGCCATATACACACCAGGCCAGCCTCTTCTAGCACTCATTGAAACCCTCTAAACCCCATTGGGTAAGCATTAAGCCTCTTTCCAACCTTGCCCAGTACCAATCTTGGCATAACCCCTTTGCAAACACCCATTGCATGCACTAACGAAAAAAAAAACAATCATTATGCCTAACCTTAAAGCCCCATTACCAAACACCAAAAAATCATTTCTCCAACCTCAAAAAAGGACTAGCTAAAAAAAAATAAAAAAATCCTAGCACTAGGCCCTAGGATTGGCTTTAGACTAGAACTGCTGAAGAATGAGCCCCAATATAGAGCACCCTACACACACCCAAAACTTTCTTCCTATGCACTAATACCACCCCTAACATATACCCAAAACCAAAGTCACAACTTTTTTACTACAATAAAGAAGATTAAGAAAATTAATTATAAATACCAAAATTAAGATAATTTTAGTCAATATTAAATAATAACATATAATTAATTGATATCGTTTTAAACAGTGTTATGGATGTGCTAATCATTTCCCACACATAGCCGACTTTCAAACTTAAACTATTTTTGTAGATCCAAAAATTATCTTTTTAATAAATTTTAATTAAGTTTAAGATTTTATTAAGAAAGTAAGTTTTAATAGGTAACCGATCATACCTAACCAAAAAAAATTGATGGTAATTCTTTTTTGTTTTCAAATTCATCTAATGGTTTTCAAAATTGTTATGATAGTGTTAAGAGATTGACACATTTTATTTTTATTTTTAGTTAATTTTTTAATTTTTAAAATATACTTTAACGAGTATGTGTTATTTTCTTAACCAAAAAACTTCATTGTCCATGTATTAGATAATTTTTCTTAATAAAGAATTAGTATTTGATACATTATTAGTATAAATTTTTAATTTCAAAAGCAGTATTAAGATATTAACACCTATTTTATTTTTATTTTTAATTACATTTTTTATTTTTTAAATAAAAAAGTGTAATAAAACACATCTTTTTGTAATTCTCAAAATATTTTTAATAAAAATAATTAAATATTTTATTAATAGTTATTTTTATTAAAAAATTAATTCTTTTGGGTGTGAAGAATAAAAAATTAAATGCATTTAGAAGCCCGCTTTTGGTTTTCTTTTGGAGAATTGTATGTTTTTAATGTGGAGCACAGCTACGGAATCCAAAGCCAACAACAGAGATTAGCGTGCCTGCTCTTCTTCATTGACGATCTGTAAGTTTTTTTTTTTTCGTATCTCTTTTCTTGCTTTTGGCTGCGCCAATTAAAATTTGAATCTCAGCTTTTTTAAGGTTGTCGGGGAAATTTCTAGGGTTTTTGGTTGGAGCTGTGGATCTTGTTATCCTTTGATTTGATTAACGAGGTTGGGAATTTCTCTATGTTTTATATTTCTCTTTAATTTCTGGCAAAATGTACCAATTTTATAGAATGTGTTTTCGAAATCAAGGGGATTTTTAAGAGGAAAAAGGAAAACTTTACTCTTCAGTGCTAAGAAACAAAAAGGAATGAGAAATGTGGGATTCAGATTTATAATTTCTTAGTGATTGAAGTTAGCGCTAGTAGGTAATGATAGTTAAGAAATCAATCACTACTACCCTTATTTTTCAAGTTTTCTAACATTCGTTGTTTCTTTTCATGGAATTGCAATTGTTATTTGACCTTGATTTTTTTAAGAAATTATTGCGGAGTAGATTAGTATTGAAAATGAAAAAATAAAAAGAAATCAAACTCACCTGATGAAAAAAACCTTGCTAGATGTTTAATCCTGGTTCCTTCTTTTAGTTTTAGGTAAGTTTTCTTATATTTGAATCTAAAGCTCTTTTTTACAAGTGAAAAGAGCATTTGAAGCTAATGTTCTTTCAACTTCCATTTTTATTTTAAATAAACAAACATTTGTCTCTTTTGTTTGGATATTTCCAGGTTTGGTAGATTCTTGTTTCTAGTACCTTTGTCTAGATCTGTAGCACTTCATAATGACAGAACCAAGCTCAGTAGACATGATTTTGGACTTTCTGAGGAGAAATAGCTTTAAGAGAGCTGAGGCAGCTTTGCAGAGTGAACTTAGTAGCCGCCCTGATTTGAATGGATTCCTTAAGAAACTTACCGTAGAAGAAAAAGACTCTGGCAAGGTACTAGCAGAAGAAAATGGGAAAAAAATAGTGGGCGGAAGTCATGGCTCAGGTTCTCAAAACAGTAGTGAGGTTTCTAAGGAACTTATAGTGACAGAGATAGAGTGTGGGGCTGGCAAAAATGGGTCTGAAAGCAAATGGAGAACTGCTGCTTCTACTGGGGAGTGTAATAAACCTAGTGAAGCAAAAGTAGCAACTGATAAAAGTTTCACTTTCTCTAAAAGTTCAGAGGATGCTTTACCCAATTTGCAGTCCTGGAGCTTCAACACTAGCAATGGTCCTGATATGTACAACAATGATAGTTTTGTTAGTAGCACTAGCTTTTCAGAGCTAGAGAAACCGCATCAGTCAAGATATCGTACAGCTGCTGCTCCTGACACCGATAAATCTGAAGAAGAGCTTTCCTTTTCTGGTGAAATGAAAACTTCATGGCTTGGAAATACTAGCAAAACTAATGTAGATTCCAAGTATGACAAGTTTCATACCAGTGAAACTAAGGACCCTGATCAGCAATTTAAGACTAGCAGTGCATACTCGAAGGAAAACTTTCCTGATAACAGCAGATGGTCTAGAACTAAGGAGCCCACTAGTTCATCTTCAGAGATATGGAAAGATTGTTCTGTCAAGATTGTTTTTCCCTTCCCTAAGGGGGATGTATCAATCAGTTATGATGCTGCTGGTTCTTCAGATAAGAGAGAAGGGAAGAAGAAAGCAGATCAGGTGGATGAGGTTGGAAGGGCTCTAATCTTCGGGAAGTCTCAAGGCAGTGGTGAGCAAAAAGGTATAAATGGGTTGGCCTTCCCTCTTGCATCTGATAATCCAAAGGAAGAGTTACCTAGATTGCCACCTGTTAAACTCAAGTCGGAGGAGAAGTCATTAAATGTTAATTGGGAGGAAAAATATGAGCGTGTTGGCTCGGGGGTGAAGCTTACTAGTGCTGACAATACCTTACTTATAGGGTCCTATCTGGATGTTCCCATTGGGCAAGAAATAAACTCTTCAGGTTAGTTCACTTAATGATTTGTCTATTTGATGATTTTTGCTTACAGATATATTTGATTTTCTTTAAATTAATGACTGCAAGTTGTTGGCTAATTATCCAAACTTTCATTATTTTCTACCTTTTCCTTTTCCATACTTGATTTGCCATTTATTATATCTTCTGGTTATATATGTATGTTTGTATGTCGTGTGTCTGTGTGTAGTATATGATCGTAGTATATATTCTTTGTCTAAACTTTACAGATTTGTCTAATTTGTTGTGGTAAAAATCTTTGTTAACTTGAAAAGATGCCATCTAGCCATAGGTGGCAAAGCCTCATTGGTGAGCTTTGTGACTTTCTTGTTTGATATATCTATAGTGAAAGGAATTCATACATTGTTTCCATGAGTTCTAAAAATTATCCTATCAGGATTGTCATTTTTCTGTTGGCAATTACTTTTGCGGGTCCTTAAAAACCATTTTTATACGCTGGGAAGATTTGTTGAACTTTGCCCAAGGTGACACAAGCTGTAATAATAATAAAAAAAGGTTGGATGAAACCCCTTCTAAGTGACTCTCTGTGAAACTCAAGTGGGAAAAAGTATTTGCTTTTTGTTCACTTTCAATTTATTGTTGTTTTTCTGGTTTTTATATCAAGTCTTACCTGGTCTAGTTGATCGAAGTCAGGCATAACTAGAGAAGTGTAAAGAAAAGAAATAAATAGCATGAAGACAGCTTATCCTCAAAATTCAAATATGTAAAATATATTAAAATAACATGGAGTGTTTTAACTTGACATTTGATAATAGCTTAAGCAGAGCTGTATAAAGGAGTTGTGCAAAAATGCTGGAATTATTAAATTATTAAGATTTTTGCTTCAAAAGTTAAACCAAAATTTTATGTCGTCTTTGTAGTGTCTAGAGTAAAAATATATGACAGTGGGGTTAATCTTTTTCCTTGCTATTTTATTCATATTCCTAATTGAAAACTTCCAACTTGAATCTTTTGGACAACCATAACAAATTTGATTGTTGGGTGCTGTAGGACAATAAGGGAATGGTAACTTTGGAAAGCATAATTTCTCGTTTGGAAAGGGCAGAGGTAACCAAATTATTTGGTTGGTTACGGTTGTAATGTGTGAGCTTTGGGATTGTAGCCAATTATTAAATTCTAGTTTTAGGAATTATTGATCCTGCTAGGACTGGGTACTTTTAACTTCTGATCTGAATAGTAACTCAAAGGTGGAATTTATAGCTTATTGATATCATGACGAGGTGACAAACCTGTGGCATCAAGTCTTCTTAGATTCAAATTGTTTAAGATTTGGGTTGGTTTTAGGATGTTTTAGATTTTATGCAGCCATTTCGCATGATTTACGTAATTGGGTTATCTCGGTTTCAGGTTTAATTCGTCACATCTAATTGATTTCTGAGAAGATTTCCTAGGGACAATTCAAAGAAGATTGTAGGTTTCAAATTACTGTTATACTGTGAGGGGAAAGGAACAATGAAAACTTATGCCTCTCACTTAATATCATAGGTTTTGCACCTAGTGTTGTTAAGTTACTTAACATGATCCTAGATGAAGCTTAGTAGTTTTCAATATTTCTTAAACTTGTTTTTGATTAATTCAAAGACTTTTTTAGTTTTTAATTATTTAATTACCAAGGGAATTTTTGGGAAAAAACCACGAGGCTGAAGAGTGGTGTCTATTAATTTAAAGGAGCAATGGATGCATGCAGGCTCCTAATGATCTTAGTCCTACAACAACTTGATACACAAGAAAAAAAGGTTAAAAGTTGGCTGATAAATAACTCTTGGCCTTGGGCCTAAAATAATAGCCCAATTGCCTAATGGAAGATCTTAAATAGACTTATCCCTTGAGATGTGGCAATAACTAGCTACCGTTGAACTTATCAAGATACCCGATTAGTCGAAACGGAAAATACAAATGACATAAAAGCTGAAAAACATGAAAAAGAAGATTTGATAAAATCTGTTCTAACTTATGTAAGGTCCTAATCAGCCTAACAACTAATAAATGGTTACAACTCTAAATTTTCTTGATATTTATGTGGTAGTTTGCATTACGTGTATAATCAAGCCAAATGGAGCTGATGGGGCTTTAGGCTTGAGCTTGGCTCGATTGAAAAACTCAAGGCTTGAGCTTTATTTTTTGTACTTGAGTTTGACCCACTTGAGCTCGAAGAATTAGGCTTATTGTTATCAACATAAATAAGAAGCTCAAAACTCGTTTGAGGCTTGAGATTTGTGTTAACTTGTAAATATTATACTTTATTGTCTTCAAACTTATGTCAAAGTAAACCTTAAAGCCTGTACTTAGGTTTTCCAAATCTGCCATTGTACTCGATACCTTACTGGTCGGTATATGATTCGAACTAATCAGGTTATGCTTAGTAGATTTACATATTATCTTTGGGTGTCAAAATGGATATCATCCATCTCACCTGAATGGCATTTCAGATGCTTTTAAGCATGTGAGTGCAATAAAAATAAGAAAAAATAAGCTTTTGTCTTGGAGGGTCATTTTATAATGCTAAAAATGATAAATGTGTTTGTTGTTCACAAGCTTTTAAAAGGCAATGATATATGCATTTAGATGTTGCACGCTTAGCTTTTGCACTTTAGATCTTTATGTTCATAAAAAGGATTCAACTTGTAGCATTCTCAGGTTCCCTTGGGTGGGATGCTGATCTTTTTTTATCTGCCCCTGAATCTATTAAGTTCATAACCATCAATAATCCTTTTCTTTATTTATTTTTAGAGATGTTGTTTGTTTTTTCTCTTGTAACTTTGCTGGGTAAAGCTTGAATCTTGTTTATGATGATCCAGGTGGGAAAAGGAATGCTGGAGGTAGTTGGCTTTCAGTGAGTCAGGGAATTGCAGAAGATGCATCTGATCTGGTTTCTGGTTTTGCTACTATTGGTGATGGATTAAGTGGATCTGTTGATTACCCAAATGAGTATTGGGACTCTGATGAATATGATGACGATGATGATGTTGGATACATGAGGCAACCTATCGAGGATGAAGCCTGGTTTCTGGCTCATGAAATTGATTATCCTAGTGACAACGAAAAGGGGACTGGGCATGGGAGTGTTCCGGATCTGCAAGAAATAGGTCAAACCAAGGATGAAGATGATGATCAATCATTTGCGGAGGAGGATTCTTATTTCTCGGGTGAACAATATTTCCAGGCAAAGAATGTTGAACCTGTTGCAGCTTCAGATGATCCTATAGAGCGGTCTGTAACTGAAATGTATAGCAGGACTCATGAGAATGATTTAATTGCCCAATATGATGGGCAGTTGATTGATGAAGAGGAGCTTAATTTGATGTGTGCTGAACCTGTTTGGCAAGGATTTGTTACACAGAAAAATGAACTTATCATGCTAGGAGATGGAAAAGTTTTCAATGAATGTGGCAGATCTCTGCTGGGTGATATTTGTATAGATGATGATCAGCATGGTTCGGTTAGGTCTATTGGTGTGGGAATCAACAGTGATGCTGCTGATATTGGCAGTGAAGTACGTGAAAGTTTAGTTGGAGGTAGTAGAGAAGGGGATTTAGAATATTTTCATGATCATGATTTTGCTATTGGTGGGTCCAGACAAAGTCATCATGCGACAGACAGGAAATATATTGATAAATCAGTTAGGGATAACAGGAAAACTGGGGAAAATGATTCCAATAAATATATTATTGGGAATGATAAAGGTCTGAGCTCCCAGGCGAAGTATCTTGCAGCTGGGGGATTTTCATTTCCTCCACCGCTAAGAGATGGGCATTTGGTGCAGGCAGGCTCTAGTAAGTCTCTGTGGTTGAGTAACTGCAATGCTTCTGGCGATGAACATGATGACTGTTTGAGTGCTTTGATGGGGTCCGATGATATGCCTGCTACATGGAGACGGAAAAGCAGCGATTCTTCAACCACCAAAAGTTCTAGGGTTGAAAATAATGCTAATGCTGTAAGATCAGCAAATTCTTGTCCTTCAACTCTCTCTAATTATGATTATGGTGAACAAGAGAAGATCAAGAAAGAAGAGGATGAGAAAATTAGTGGTGTGAGGGGAGAGGATCCTGGGGTATCACTTGAAGATGAAGAGGCTGCTGCTGTCCAAGAGCAAGTGAGACAAATTAAAGCACAGGAGGAGGAATTTGAAACCTTCGACCTCAAGATTGTGCATAGAAAAAACAGGCATGTCTTATCTTAGAAAAAAATCCTAATTGTAATATGTGTTCTGTTCATTCACTGGTGCTAACAATTTTCAAAATTATACTCATACATAAATTGTATTATACCTTCTCTCTCTCTCCCTTGTGAGATATCAAGTATCCATGAATCTCTCTTGGGGTAATCTCAATGAACTCTGGTTGAAGTTGGAGGGGTGAAGCTGGTTGCAAGCTTCATCTTTTAATTTTCTGACTGACAAGTTTTTGAGGATTTATGTTTTATGCACTGTAATGGTTAGTGTCAAGCCGAGGCAACATAGAGCTTCATTTAACTAATTAGGTGATTGATTCTCATTGTTGACTACTTTTCCTTTACCAAGTATTTAGCAAAGCTCATGTTTTTGTTTTTAAGCTTAAATATTTATTTAGTTTAGTTTATACTGAATATTTCAATTTGCTATCAGCTATAGAGCTCTTGCTAACAGATTTCCTTACACAAAACCTCTTTTTGTTTCTCAGAACTGGATTTGAGGAGGACAAGAATTTCCATGTTGTTTTGAATTCTGTCATAGCTGGGCGCTATCATGTTACTGAGTATCTTGGGTCAGCTGCTTTTAGTAAAGCTATACAAGCACATGACCTGCACACAGGCATGGATGTATGTGTGAAAATTATAAAGAACAACAAGGATTTTTTTGATCAAAGCCTTGATGAGATTAAGCTTCTCAAGTATGTTAACAAACATGATCCAGCGGATAAGCATCACATTCTCCGATTGTATGATTACTTTTACTACCGAGTGAGTGAATGCAGGCCAGGAACTATCTTTCTTTTTCCTTGTTCATGCTTTTGAATGTTCCTACTACTTTGTTTTCACTTTATTAAAAGATAATAGGTGTTTTATCTTTATTCATGATTTCATTTATTTTATGTTCTTTAGCATTGGTTAGATGTTGCAATTTCCCAGTATTTTGTGCTCTAGTCCTAATTCTTGCATGTGTATTGACATGGACATTTATTGGGGTTGTTCTGAATATTTCTGGCTTGTAGAGGCAAATGGTTTTATTTGTTGAAGTTTATGCTTGGCATGTTCAGCATAAATGTGTTTCTCTGCTGGTGAAATTATAATTGATCTGTTGGCTGTTGCATATAGTGTCCTGTACATGGATGGCAATGCATGTGGAATTAAGTAGCAGCTGACTCTTCTTTATTTTCCAGGAGCATTTGCTAATAGTCTGTGAACTTCTCAAGGCAAACTTATATGAGTTTCATAAATTTAATAGGGAATCAGGTGGAGAGGTTTACTTCACTATGCCAAGATTACAGGTTTGTGGAAAGCTGTTTTCTTTAGAAGAGCATCTAATTTATTCTCACTATTATATAATCTTCTCTTAAATTCTTCTGTGCAGTCAATTACCATTCAGTGTTTGGAGGCTCTCCAGTTTTTGCATGGCCTTGGCCTAATACATTGTGATCTGAAGCCAGAAAATGTATTAGTAAAAAGCTATAGTAGATGTGAGGTGAAGGTCATTGATCTTGGGAGCAGTTGTTTTGAGACAGATCATCTATGCTCCTATGTTCAGTCCAGGTCCTATCGAGCACCAGAGGTTATCCTAAGACTTCCATATGATAAGAAGATAGATATTTGGTCACTTGGCTGCATCTTGGCGGAACTCTGTACTGGCAATGTAAGTATTGGCCTTCTTTAGACATTAATCACTGTTTGCTTCTTAAGAAGTATGGCTATGATATGTTGAAGGTTTTCATATACAGCTTTTTTTTTTAAAGTTTTTGTTTTACCTTCTTCTTTGGAGAAAATTTATTATAAACAAAACAATTGGAAATATCATGCATTTGAACAAATCATTAAATTCAATGGAAAAACAACTCTGACTGAACATTGATTTGGTTTTGAACTGTCTAGTTGTAGAACTTTTAAATAAAAAGATCTTGTACATTTTTTGACCTCTTTGTAATTTCATTCAGTGATGTCCTTACCCATAAATGCTGAATGGATTAAATTTTGGGACTCTGTCCAATTATTAAGTCTCTGGTTCAAAATATTAGGAAGGCTATTTGATTGAGTTGTTAGAGTTACCACACATAGGTTTCCTGACATAGGTTGGCTCAAACTTGACCGAAAGAAAATGCTTCTTATGTTATGGTATCTAGATTTGGATTTTTGTGCATTCATTCTATTGCTATTAGTTAGCTTGTTCTACTGACGACTTCAATCATTGATTTTCCTAGAAAAATATGTTTCTTTCACTGTACTACTTTCTTTTAATATATTTTTGGATAATTTTCTTGGAGAAATAAATGATTTCCCCCTTTTACCTGTTTTATTTTCTGTGTAGCCTCAAGCTCAGCATATACTGATTGTTACCATTACTAATTCACCTATTTTATTGCAACTCATCTTTTTAATTTTTGGTACAAATTCGTACTAATACGATGGTGTAGGTCCTCTTCCAAAATGATTCACCTGCGACGTTACTCGCAAGGGTAATTGGAATCATAGGTCCCATTGAACAAGACATGCTTGCCAAAGGACGGGATACATACAAATTTTTTACCAAGAATCACATGCTTTATGAACGAAATCAGGTCATTATTTAGTTATTGGAGAAAAGTGCTTTAGTCTAAACATTATTTTGCAGTGCTTCCCCAATGCTTAGGGGCTCCACACCCTATCTCCTTATATAACTTGAATGCTGTTTTCATGTTTTTGAATTTGGGTTTAAAGTGGTGCATATTTACAAATATACTTCAGGAGACCAACAAACTGGAATACCTGATACCCAAGAAGACATCTTTGAGGCATCGATTGCCTATGGGGGACCAGGGTTTCATTGATTTTGTTGCTCATTTGCTTGAAGTAAACCCAAAGAAGCGTCCTTCTGCAGCTGAGGCTCTGAAGCATCCATGGCTATCATACCCTTATGAACCCTTATCAGCTTGAGTGCTCTGAATATTTGCTGATGGAACTTGCTGCAATTGCTCAACTCATTTCAGCTTTCACATTGAATGGGGAAGGAGCTGTATTTTATTACTGACTGGAGTTGGTGTCATCGATTGAAGGAGTTTTCCCCCCTTTCATGTGCCTGCGAAATGCATTCAAAGGTGTGTTTGGTTATATATTATTTTCCTTCCCCTTACCAGAGTAGTAATTGAACTTTTACCATTATGAAGGATGTAATATTGGAACAGTGTATCCTTAGAGTTTAGTTCCTTCATCACTCGAGGGGAATCAATCTTGTTGTACATGATGTTTGATAATTCCTGTAGATTATTTAGTAATAACTTGTGATATAGTTGGTAACAAAAGTTTTGGTATTGGCTGCACGCAAGGCTGCTATCCCAACAAGTTTTAGGTTGATTTGGGCTTTTTGGCCATCAGATATTCAGATATTCTTCTCATTTACAGCTTTGGCTTTTCAATCGACTTCTCTCTCTCTCTCTCGTAGATTGCACCATGTTTTGTTTTAAATCGTTTTTGTTATTATGAGGGTGAAATGTTCAAATTATTTAAAATGTCATCACATCCTTGTTTGGTTTGATTCAAAAGTGCAGATCGAAATCCGGAGAGAAATGGAGGGAAAGAAATTTGATGCCTCTTTCTGCCTTTTGTTTTTTTTAAAAATTAATTTGAAATACTTTCTGCTACTTTTTTTTATTGCTTCCCGAACCAGAAGGCAAAGTGTTAGCCTTTCCAATAAATGTATTTGACTGGATGGTAGCGAATTAAATAAAAAGAAACATTTATATTGAAATTAAATAAAACTCATTAGCATTGCATTAAGCCATAAAAATTACAATCATATTGGAAAAATCATTAATAAATTTTCACAAATTATATATTACATCCAGAAAGAAATCAACAAATGACCAAAAAATAATAAATTAGCATATAATTAGACAAAATCAATATAATAAATTAGCATATAATTTGGAAATTGGGTCTTTAATTGTTTGCCTATGTATCCCTTGATTTGTGAATTTTGGTATTATTGATTTAATGGAAGAGATATCGGGGAATTGGTTAGTTTTTTTTCGGATGAAAATGGAGAGCTTCTATTTACACTTCACTTTGGCTCTTTACACCCATGTACTAAATACACTTTATTTTCAAATTTATTTTAATAAAAATTACTTATCACAACCAAGTTCATTTCAAAGTACAATTACCTTTGAACTCTTTAATCTTTCACATTTCACTCTTAACAAATCTTAGCTTTATCTCTTTTCACTATTTTCCATTATTTTGTTGATTGAAAATTTCAAACCCTTAATTCTTATTTTGAGGCAAGATTAGGATTGAATAAACAAATTAGAGACAAGATCGAAGTATATTTTTTTTTCTTTTTTTGAATATGTGATTGAATTTTTTGCATTGTTGTGAAATATTATATAGATTTTAAACTTATACGAATACTTGTTTCTATATAATTTCAAAGATGGACTGATGTGTATATTTGCCTATTTTTTAGACTATAAGGATATGTATATTTGTATGTTTTTTAAGTCTCACGGATATGCATATCTGTGAGGCATATAAAAGGGTGCATTATTTGTAGATTTTAGAATTTTGCCTTTCCAACAACTTTTGTACCTCTAGGCCATTTTAGTTTAAAAATGTTGTAAGTGATAACCCTATGAAATAGAGTTATTTTTTATGCTAGATTGAGGTATTTTTGGTTAGTTCATGGCTAAATACTAATCTTTTTACTCTTAATATGCTTAATTTGCCTTTGTGTAGGAAATCATAAAGCAAGTATTGAATTTTGAAGAATCTTAAAAATACTTGATCAATTTTGATGGGTTCTTGATATATATGGAGTAATCTTGGATTGCTCTTGGAATGTTCTTGAGAGTTCCTGAAAATTTTGGAGTGGAAGTTATGAAAATGTTCAAGATTTGCTTAGCCGCACTTATGGGATTAAGTTTGATTGAATCTTGATGAAAAATTTAGAAAACTCATGCAAGAATCATGCAAGGGAAGTTCGACAATTAAAAGGGTTAGATTTGTAATTTCAAAATTGAATGCAAGTCCATGGTGTTCTATGTAGGCGCATATGCATGAAATTATTGTGGATGACATGACAACAAGTCTTTTCTCATTGGCCAAGATAGATGATTTAAATGTTGATGTGGCATGATGACTTGAAAATTTTATCCAAATTGAAAAAGTCCAAAGAACCTTTGGTAATCTTAATTAAAAGAGAAAATCTTGCTTTGATTAGGAAAGTCTGCTATTGATTTGGCATTCCTACTTTGACTAAGAAATCCTACCTTGATAAGGAAATACTAATTTATTTTGGTTTTCCTACCTTGACTAGTTATTCTAACTTGAATGTCCTGCTTTGAATTAATTCTCCTACCTTGTTTTGGTTTTCCTACTTTGTGTTGGTCCTATTTATGGTAGGAGTTGCATGAACTATAAAAGAACTAAGCATAGGGGGTGACTGCTAAGGAGAATTTAAAATTAGATTTAACTTTCTTGTTGTCTAAGAAGTCTTACTTCAACTCTAAGAAGCTTTTCAAGAATAACAAGTTCTACTCTAACTTCAAAAAGTTTTCTAAAAGCATTGGTCCTTTTCTAAGTTGAAGTTATTATTCTAGAAGGCAACTTAGGGTTCAAAATTAATTAAAACTCATTCTTTTCTTTTGAAGAACCCTAGCTGCCACCTTGTGCAAGCATTATTAATAGATAGACACATCAAGATAAGTTTTAAGAGGGTTGCAAAAGGAGATGCCAGCTACTCCACTCTTTTTTAATAAAAAAAGTCGACTTTCACAATTCTTTTATTCTTTTAGAAGCCAAATTAGCTAAGATTATAGGCACCTAATTTGTCTTGACAAAGTTTAACCACTTGTGAGATCTTTAAAATTTGACCTAATTCGAATCCAATATTCTTTTAGTTGACAAGCTTTCAAAATCGAATTTAAGACCAATTTGACCCAAATGCTTTAGGGTAAAACTTGGTCAAAGTTTGTTAAACAAAGTAAAAAATGGTCAAAATCAGTCAAACTAGATCAAACTATGGTCAATCCTTAAATTTCACAATCAAATGGGCTTAACAAGGCTAAGAATTGAAATTGATGATTTTTAATGCATTAAAAATCTTGATTATATTTTGGAAAGGGTAAAATTATTGAAATGCTATTTAGGGATATTTTTGTAATTTAACATTTTTGAGGTTGGATTTTCATAAAAATTTTCAGCTCATGATTAAACATTATTTTTTAATTTTTAATACATCGAAAAACCTAATTACACCTTGAGAGGTATGAAAATACTAAAATGCCCTTTAAGGGTAATTTTGTAATTTGACCTTTTATGAGGTTGGTTTTTCTTGAAACACTCTAGATGATGTTTTGAAATTATTTTATGATTTTTTGTGCATTAAAAATCTTGATTGCACCTCGAAAGATGTAAAATTATGAAAATATCCTTTAAGGGTATTTTCATAATTTGACATTCTGAGGTCAATTTTGATGGTATTTGCCCTTCAATCTAAATCATATTTTGGTTAAGATATTGTTATATTTGTAGTACTTTGATATTTAATATCTTATAAAGGTCTTTTTTTTTTTTATCATTGAACTTGTATACATATATTTTAATGTTGATGCTTATATGATAAAATCCTCAAAATATAAATAAAGCTTTGATTATAATGAGATTGTAATTATGGGATCATCATTGCATAAAAGCTATATGTGTCAAAATTATTCTTAGTAGATGCTTTATCAATAAGAAGACATTGACAAAACTTGTTAAGACTAGCACATTGTTATGCTTTTGCTTACGAAGCAAGCAATCGATCTCATAGTTTAAAGTTTTGGTAAACTTGAGCTAACATGTGAGTGCTTGTTACAAGAACAAGTTCACTGAATATGACTCGATATGAGAATGCTATATGATAGTTCACATAATGTCTATACCTATATTCTCATGTAATGGTTGTATAAGTGATCTTTTAACTTGAGATTATTTATGATCTTATATGATGAATGTTATACTTTAACTTTACTTAGTTCTGACCAAAAATGCTCCAATCGAGTATTGTTAGGTATAACATGAGGCGTATGAAGATGCATGAAGTAATCAAGATAGGATTCATCACCTTGAGTGATCAACAAAGTATCTAAACTAGTTTTAATTGAATTAACTTGAAAAATCTTTGGCCAAAGTGAAATAAAATTTTAGAATTATTTTGATGCTTATTTATGAGTTAACATTAAGGACAAGACATAACATGGTTAAACAAAATTGAGTAGATACTAAACCATACTCAATGTTCAAACCAAGATACTATACGATGAAAAGATATCAATTATACACAAAAACCATTCATTGATTGATAACTCTATTTTATAGAGTTATTTCTAGTGCTTTTATGGTTGATTTTTGTTTAATTCTTAGTAAAATAAAGTTCTTTTTACTCCTAAATGGTTGAATTTTTTGTTTTATAGGTTTCCTTGAAGAAAAGAATGATTCTTGGTAATTCTTGATGATTCTTGAACTTTTTTGATGATTTCTAATCATATGATGGATAGTTGAGATGTTCTTGAAAATTCTTGATTTTCTTAGAAATCTTGAAGTTCAAGAATGGAAAAAATGTTCAAGATTAGCTTTGGCAAGTGTTATGGAGTTGAAGATGATGAATCTTAAAAAAAGAAGATGAATCTTAAAAAAAGAAAATGAATATTCATGTAAGAACTCAAGTTGAAATTTCAACAAAGAATAAGGCTAGAATTGTACTTTAACATAATTGCAAGTCCATGGTAGCTTGTATAGGTGCACATGCATGGGATTACTATGAGATGGCATGGCATTTAAAGACTTTTCTTTTCTTATTGGTTACGGCAAATAATGTGGCATAATAAGGTGGCAACTCTGTTTTCTTTTCTTATTTGGAGTTGGATTTCTTTTCTTAGTGGTGAAGTATCCTAATTCTACTTAGAGTAGGATTTTGCATGGGCAATAAATGAAGATTGAAGGAATTGAAGTAACTTTTTTGGAAGTTCAATATAGTAAGGTCGAAAATGTACTTTCTTAATTTAACAAGATTCTATTTTTGGTAAGTTGATATATGGTATGGAAAAGTTGCCACATGATAAGTTATGGTATATAAAGATTTAGAAGCTGTCTTTTTAAGAGTCTTTGTTGAAGAAGCATTTTGGGATTTAAGAGATCAAGTCCAACCAAAACTATGTTAAGTCTTCTTGTTTTCAGTTTTCTTTAGCATTCAAACTTTCGATTCTTAAGTTTTTTGTTTTTTTAGTTTTATATTTTTTCAATTCAGTTTATGAACATTATTTTAAATTTACTTCAATTGAATTTTGGTTTAAAGCTTTCTTTTTATTCCGTTTTACTTAGTTTTTATGCAAATTGGTTTAAAAAGTGTTAGTTTCAATCAATTTGGATTTTAATATTTATAATTTATGATTCTAACTTTAAGTATTGTTATTATATCATGTGGTTCATGTTCTGTTTTGCTTGAATTTGTT